CGCTGGTCGAACTCCGACCTCCGCAAGGCGCACGGCCGTCGGGCGGTTTAGGGTTTAGGGTTTAGGGTTCAGGGTTCAGGGTTTAGGGTTTAGGGTTTAGGGTTTAGGGTTTAGGGTTTAGGGTTTAGGGTTAGGGTTTAGGGTTGAGGGTTGAGGGTTTAGGGTTTGGGGTGGGTTTAGGGTCCTAAAAGACCCTATGTAAAGCCTTTACGCCCTAAACCCTCAACCCTCAACCCTCAACTTGTGCAGGATCCTGCGCTTATGGGTGCCCTCCACCAGATCCTGCTGCCCATGATTTCGCTTCCGGCGCTCTCCAAGGCTGGTTAGGGTTTAAGGTTTAGGGTTGAGGGTTGAGGGTTGAGGGTTGAGGGTTGAGGGTTGAGGGTTGAGGGTTGAGGGTTGAGGGTTGAGGGTTGAGGGTTGAGGTTTGAGGGTTGAGGGTTGAGGGAGGGTTTGAGGGTTGAGGGAGGGTTTGAGGGTTGAGGGAGGGTTTGAGGGTTGAGGGTTTCAGGGTTTCAGGGTTTCAGGGTTGAGGGTTTGAGGGTTGAGGGTTGAGGGTTTCAGGGTTTCAGGGTTGAGGGTTTCAGGGTTGAGGGTTTTAAAAGGTGTAATTGGGGGTTGGGTTTTCAGGAGTAACTACGGCTTGGGGTTTCTGGGTTTCTGGTGTAACGAGGGTTTAGGGTTAGGGTTTCAGGTGGGAGGGTTTAGGATTGACGGGGCTAATTCAAATTTTTGAGGGTTTCGGGTTTGGGGGTTTACGGGTTTCGGCATACCCCAAGGTCCAAGGTTTTGGGGCACTCCTACAGGTTTCTATGGGTAGGGCTCTGGGGGTTTAGTTGTAGGCGCTGCGGGTTTCAAGGTTTGAGGTTTAGGGTGAAGAACGAATACATGATGATGACCTAAACCTTACCCGAGACCCTAAACCCCAAACCCGAAACCCGAAACCCTAAACCCTAAACCCTGCCTAGGCCCTAAACCCTAAACCCCAAACCTAAACTTGAGCTCGATACTCGTATTATAGGCAGGCCGCTAAATGTCGAACTTACCGCCCCTTCTGAGCATCCTAAAGGGTTCTAGAGGAACCCCACAAGGGACGATAAGTTCTAGGGTTTTTCAGTAGGGTTTAGGGTTTAGGGTGTAGGGTGTAGGGTTTAGGGTTTAGGGTTCAGGGTTTAGGGTTAGGGTTTAGGGCACCCCTTTTTCCCAGGTAGCCGTTCATGCAGTCACGAAAAAAAGGGCAGCCAAGGTTTAGGGTGTAGGGCTCAGGGTTTAGAGTTTAGGGTTTAGGGTTATGATAAACCCCACCCGGCAGCTGTCTAAATTCCTGCATCACACAATGGGCTTGGAGAGCCTTAGCTCATGAAGATCTGGCTGATGCGCGACCTCAGCCCAACAGGCAATGTCCTGACAGGCCCTAGACCCTCAACCCATGAACCCGTCTGAACCCTAAACCCTAAACCCTAAACCCTAAACCCTCAACCCATGAACCCTCTGAACCCTAGAGGTGCCCTATGAGCAATATGAGCAATATGAGCTCTATGAGCCCTATGAGCCCTATGAGCCCTGTGAGCCCTATGAGCCCTATGAAACGCTCTATTCCCTCTATTCCCTGCAAGCCGCAAAGGCTAGGCCGCTAGGCCCTGCTGTTGAGAATGTAGCCCAGGAGGTGGAGGTGTCGGTCGTCTACGCGATATGCATCTTCTGCGCCTTGGGATGCTTTTCGGGATACACATAGCGTACTTGATAGCAAGAGTAGGAACTGGAGACTTGATATCACGAGTAGCACTTCTGGTAAAACAATAGAACAAGGGCGCCAGCTTCAGCATAAATTGCTGGCCAAAGGGGGTTTCAGGGTTTAGGGTTTAGGGTTTAGGGTTTAGGGTTTAGGGTTTGGGGTTTGGGGGTGGCGGGGGGGGCGGGTTGGGGCTTGGGACTTAGGGCTGCCTAGTTTCTTCGATGCTTACTATGAGCTCTACACCCCCCCCCCCGCCCCTTGCCCCAAACCCGAAACTTTCTTCAAACACCGGGGCCTCTGAGAGTGTGGCTTAGGGTTTAGGTTCGGGTGGGGCAAGCTTGGTGTTTCGGGCTCAACTCAGAGACCACAGGTGGAGGCTCACGCTTCGGATTAGGCACTCAAGGGTGCTTTCAGGGAGTTGAGGGTTCAACGATTTCGGGAGTTTCGGGTTCAAGGGTTGAGGGTTTTAAGCGTTTCGCTTTGAGACGCAGGATGAAGGTTCAAAGCAGACGATTGAAAGGCCCCATTGTCGCTTGGGTGTGGGATGTTTGCTTTGACTCTGGCCAGGGCAGCATATTTAGCAAGCCTTCCTCGTTGATCAACATTATTTATTGTGTCTCTCTCTCTCTCTCTTTATTTTCACGTTCTCTCTCTCTCTCTCACTCATCACTCCCACTCTCACTCTCGCTCTCGCCCTCGCTCTCTCCTGGGGGCATGCGTATGGCACTGCTGCATAAGAGGTGTCCGAGACGGCGATGTCGCCCGAGAGCACTGGAGGCATGCTCGCATCGACATGGAAGGTACAAGCAGTTAGAGGATTGGGATGCTGGCGCATAGAAGACAAGGAACAAGATCCTAGGACCTGGAGGCCACATGAACACCCGACTAAAGACAAAGGACAGGCAGTAACAGTACAGTAACGCCCAAGGCGACTAACTAACACAACCTTGCAACCACATATCAAACCAGTTCAGGACCACAGCCCCGTTCTCATGCATCGATTTCATGTGTCCTGCACCTGGCCCGCTCCTTAAAGTTCCACAATTTCTTATAAGAGTCTTGCAAAATTTCTTTTCCAAGGTAAAGCCCTTCCAAAAACCATAAGTCCCGAAGCCCTACATAGCAGACCCTCAACATGTACAACGCGCACTCCAAGCGAGCCTGCCAGGTGCGTCTGAGACCATAGGTTGCTGGGCCCAATGTCAGGCCCACGTCTAGTCTCACACCATGTCCCCCAAACCCGGACCCTTTAATGCAGAACCTTAAACCAAAAACCCTAAACCCCAAACCCCAAACCCCAAAGCCTGGCCTTTGTGGGTGAGCAGTTTGCTGCTGACGCTGCTGCGTGGGCTACAAGAAGCAAGGGCCCAAGGTGGATATTTAGTAGGGTTTAGGGTTTAGGGGTTGAGGGTTGAGGGTTTAGGGTTTAGGGTTTAGGGGTTGAGGGTTGCGGGTTTAGGGTTTATGGGGGCCTGAACCCAGCTTGGTAGGGTTTAGGGGGTTTTGGGCTCGGGTTTTGTAGGTCTTTCTTTTCTCCAACTCTGGTTCACTGCTCATCTTTCCGGGGCGCAAGGCAGAAGTGTAGAACTCTAAGCCATGCTAAACCCTTAGCGCTAAACCCTAAACTTGGGATTTTCCCCTTGCACAAGCAGTCCTTAATCGGGATTATAGTACCAACTATTCGAATCCCTAGTAAGGACTGTTAGTATACGGGGGAACATCCCAACCCTAAACCCTAAGAAACTGTAAACCCTGAAATCCACAAAACCTCGAACCAAGGGCTTGGGTTTGGAGTTTAGCCTTTTGCTGATTGTTTGGGGGTTGGGGCTTAGGCCTCGGGGTTTTGGGAAGTTCACCGGTTTAGGGACTGCTTCTCAGGCAGAGCCTATGGACCCAGCGCAGTGCAAGCCGGGTTCGGAAGGCTGCGGTTTGAGGTTCAGGGCAGTTTTAGAGTTCTGGATGAATCGGGGTGGTATCTGGATTATACTGTACATTGACTCGACCAGTTTGGAAGCACCAGGTGAACGCGGATTATTTAGTTGTCAGCATGATGTTCGACGTTGATTGCAGTTTCTTGTTGCGTTGCACTGCAAACAGCATCTGGCGAACCCTGAACCCTAAACCCGAAACCCTAAACCCTAGGTTGTGAAGGTGGAGCCAGCTAAAAGTGGAAATGTTGATCATTGGCACGAGCATGTGGTACTCCGTCCGCAAAGGGGAATCCAGGGGGACCTTGTTTGGGTCTGCAATGGAGGAGCACACGCACACAAAGCTACAAAGAAGGGTTTAGGGAGTTTAGGGTTGAGGGGCTTAAGCGGGCGAAGCTTGCTAAGTGCTGCAGTGATGAAGCGCCCTTGTGAGAAGGATCCCACATGCTGCACCCAATCTGCACCCTACACACTAAACATGAAGCCCTCTCTGAGAAAACAATTGGGGGTATTACGAAAATAGCGGTACCTTCTTGGGGTCCTTATTATAAGGGGATGCTGCTACTTGGGGATCTATATTCGGGGTCCCTGCTTTTCGTAATCCTCCATATTCTTACCATTCTCAGATGTGGCGGCCCGAGTTGACAAGACACCTGGGCTTGTTTGCCAGATGTCGGATTCAGACGATCGCCACCGCGATAAGGGGCAAAGACCTTGTTCCACCGAGCGAGTGTTGCGCCATGGCCTGTTTCGTCGGGTCTTTCCTTGGCAAGTCCTACGAGGTTGGCGCTTCGGGATGGTGAGTGACGCTATGTCGGGGATGTGTGTGTAGGACCTTAAGGGCCTAAGCCATTGAACTCTGATTGGTCTCAGGGGGCGCTGTCAGGTTGTGGGATGATCTTCAACGAGGGTGTCTCCACGCTCCTGTGGGCGGGCGAGAATACAACAACCCGCTTTCCGACCATAGCGCAGTTGAAACTTGCTGGTGAAACCCTTTACAGGACATTTGAGGAGAAAGATCTCTACACCCGAACAGCTACAAGCCTTAAACCCCTAAAGCCTAAACCCTAAACTCCAAACCCCTGAAACCCTAAACCTTAAACCCTAATCCCTCTCCAGGACAGCTGAGGAGACGGATCGCGTTGACGTGTTCATTAGCCACTCATGGCACGCAGAGCGCTGGAGTAAATTCTTGGCTCTCTGCCTCTACTTTAACTTGGGCATCTTGGTAGCCCAGTGGTACACTTTTTCCCTTTTTCTTGGTTGACTTCCTTATAAAATCTGCAACCCCCAAAAGGGGTAACCTTATTAGAATATGGTTACTGGGCTACCGAGGTATGGCAGTGGGCTGTTCCATTGGCACCTGGCTCTTCGTTGCATCGCTTCTTCTGGGATGCGGGGGTTTCACAAGCCTCGGTGGAAGCTACCTTGCCTTTCCATGCCTTGTTCTGCTACCAATGGCAGCCTTTTTCCTCGTCTTGATCCTGGGACAGCAGCTCGCTGGAGCATGCGGGTTTAAGTCAGCATCCTTGTGGATGGACAAGCTCTGCATTCACCAAACAGACATGGACGAGAAGGCAGAACAGCTCGAAGCCCTTCCCATCTTCCTTACACGCTCAGAGCGCATGCTCATGCTTTGGGATGACACATACTTCGAGCGGTTATGGTGCAGCTTGGAAGCTGAGCAGGTGCATTTTGAAACCCTAAGCCCTCAGCCCTAAGCCCCAAACCCTACACCTCCCTAATTCAAATTTTTAGAAATACGGCAAACCCGGATGGCGCCCCACTCACTTGTCGTTTGGGCTAGGCGGGTGCTCCCCCTGCAAACCTTAAACCTTAAACCGGAAACTGGGGTTTCGGGTCTCCCTCCAGCCCGCGGTCTGCAGCTCCCAGGGCTGAGGAAGCTTTGGCGCACAGACATTATTATAGTAGTAGTAACGATAATAGTAGTAATAATAAGGTTATGTAATGATAATATGAATAATATTATAATAATAGTAGTAGTAATGGTCTTGCATACCGACCTTGGCTTTTGCTTGTCACCGCTACCACCTCCTTCTTCCACGAAGGCCAGACGCGAGATAAACCTTGTCTCTTCACCTGCCGGCTGACATCTTTCTGCCCTCCCGGTCCGGGGGCTTGCACTAGTGCTGCGCTTGACCTGGCCGTTATGGCCCGCAGCAGTAAGGGTCCTACAGGCTGTTCAGAAAGCCTTGACATCGGCACGCCAGTACGCCGTGCTCAAAATCACGTACCTCAGCATGGCTTAAGCTTGCGCGGCTCAAGGGGTGCGCTTCGTGCTTCGTGCATTGCGCGACCGGGGCCTGGGAAGCGGCCGCCGCCAATCCCAGAACGACTCTCAGACGCCGTTGCTGCCCGCTGGCTGACCGCGGCTACATGCCCGGCTCCTCACCTTTCCGTGTTGCTTCGCAGCCACCACGCCCGAGTGGCACTCCGCCGCCGGGCAGAAGCCTCCCCCCTGGCACTTGGGTCTTTCCTCCCAGCAATCGCCTTCCTGGGCACGCAGTGCAGTTTCTGACCTGAGAAAAACTTCCTCTTGCGCTTGCTCCTGGGTCTGTCAAGTTGGGTGCATCCAAGCTCATCTTGTGACGGGCCGTGGACAAGAATCGTGCTGGAGTTCTCGAGACGCCGGAGACTCGTGCAGGTGTAGGTTCGCCCTACGGCTGACCATGGCATGCTCTCTGCCTTGATGTCAGGGTGGACGCATCCTGCATCACAGGGTGTCGGACGTAGGACGCGCTGACTCGAACGTGGCGGTAATTTCTGAATCTGGCTGCCAGACCTCTAATTGCCATGGGCGCGTTTTGCAGATCTGTGCTGCGGAGGTCCACGCAACCCGTGTGGCAACACTGACCCGACCGTCCAGAGTTTAGTCGTCCAGCGACCCATTGCGCAAACTTGAGCCGACTGGCATATAGGCGTTCAGTAGGCCTCAGCCTCAGTAACGGCTATCACCGAACGCTATGAACCTCAATTCCTAAACCCTAAACCCTAAACCCTAAACCCTAAACCCTAAACCCTAAACCCTAAACCCTAAACCCTAAACCCTAAACCCTAAACCCTAAACCCTAAACCCTAAACCCTAAACCCTAAACCCTAAACCCTAAACCTGGCATGGGTTTCCTTGGGTTTCAGCAACCAAGGCAATCTGGAACTCGCAACATTTGCACGGCATCGTGGCACAGAGAAGGTGGATGTAATGCCCCTGTGGCTGGCGCCATGGTTGCTACTTGGTAGGCAGTTGGGACATGTCATATTTTCCTTACTGGGCTTAAGAGAACTATATTTAGGAATATTTTTCACAGGGCTGTAAGGGCCATCATAGCTACTAGGTATTTCCCCAAATTCAGTAGGGGAGTGAAGAGGGTACCCCTATTTTCGGACTCCCCCAATTGGGTTTAAGAGGATCTTGCTTAGGAATGCTCTGCAGAAGCTTCTAGCGTTTAAAGGACCAAGCTAGGATAAGCTCGATCCTGGCGGATCTTCTTGGTGCCAGCATCTTCATGCTAGCTGGGCCGGTCTTCCCTACTTGGCCCGAGATGTCAAAAGTCATCATGGAAATGAGCGACCGCGCCCTTGGGCATAACCCAGCCCTGGTATCTTTTGCAACATGGTCCAGCGTCTGGATGTTGGCAAGCATCTTTTATGTCCCGGCGATTATACCCTGCCTCTTCTCTTTCCGCACGAAACTCCAGATTCACCGACACATGTTGGACCAGATGGCAAGTTTCGATGTTCGAGCCGCGAAGTGCACCGTACCTGCCGATCGCAGAGCCATCGAGCAGCAGGTCACGGAGCTGTTTGGGGAAAAAGTTCAGAGTGATTCGCGGCCAACCGTTGATGAAGGTGAGGTCCGCATTCGACACTTTCATCTTTCTGGTCCGAGAGGAGGTGATCCTTTAGACTATTTCAACCAGTATGTCCGAGGGTCTTTGCGTGATTTCGTGATACAGCAGATCGGGAACGAGCTGCACGTGCCTTATCGGGTATGTTTGACTGCTTTCCTTCCCATGATCTTCTTCAGTTCCGTGAACATCTTGGGCTGCGACTGGGTGGCTATGTTGTTGATCTATTTTACAGCTTCGCCTTTTCTTGTCTACAGCAAGAGTAATTAGGGTAATTAGGGCAGTTAGGGCAGTTAGGGCAGTTAGGGCAAGGGTAATGAGGGTAATGAGGGTAATGAGGGTAATTAGGGTAATTAGGGTAATTAGGGTAGTTAGGGTAATTACGGCAATGAGGGTAAATTAGGGCAACTGGGATAATTAGGGTAATTAGGGTAATTAGGGTAATTAGGGTATTTGGGTACTAGTGTAATTAGGGCAACTAGGATAATTAGGGGTAATTAGGGCAATTAGGTCAATTGGGTTTTAGCTGTAGGCTTGTGGGGCACCTCGGGAGACGTAGGGCGGGCAGTCAGAGGAGCAAGCTAACCCTAAACCCTAAACCCTAAACCCTAAACCCTAAACCCTAAACCCTAAACCCTAAACCCTAAACCCTAAACCCTAAACCCTAAACCCGAAACCCTAAACCAGTAACCCCTAGGTGCCAAAGATTGTTCCGGGCCCCCCGATACCCTTGTCGAACCTCTTGCTTCTAAGGCTTAGGGCTGAGGGTTGAGGGCTCAGGGTATGTGGCTTTGTGGTTGGGAACCTCGAAACCCTAAACCCTAGCCTGGGCTCAATATGTTTTTGTCTGGAAAGTCTTTGGGCTACTTTGCCTACGGGACATGGTCGATTCTCTACTTGAGAGTCCTCTTTCGCGTACTCCGAACAACCCTAAACCCTAAACCCTGAACCCTAAACCCTAAACCCTGAATCCTAAACCCCAAACCCCAAACCCTAAACCCTAAACCCCAGACCCTAGACCCTAGACCCTAAACCCTCCAAGAAGGGGGACTGGAACTCAGAGAAGGGATTCTGGGACCCAACGTCGGCCCTTATTCCCCTTTTTTGGGGTTTGGGTTCCCTTCTCGCCCCTTTTAGACCAAAAAGGGCACCCTTCGTATTCCGACAGGTTACTCCTGGGTATAGACATGATTTACATTCGAAGCATCGGGCTTTTTAGCAACCGAGGTGAGAACGTGCAATGTGAGCGGGCTGTTCGAGCAAGCCACCTGACATCTGTGGCGCAGTACATGGCCGTGATGACCCCTGGCAGTCTAGTTCAGGGTGTTTAGTTTTAGGGTCTATGGGGTTTGGGGTTTAGGGTTCAGGGTTTAGGGTTTAGGGTTTATAGGAACTTGGGGGCTTAAGATATTCGGGGTACCAACCCCCAGTTATCATTGATCTACCCTGTAGAAATCTCAACGGCAATCTTTTACCTTCTTAATGAAGAACTGGGCAAGTAGTTAAGGTCCGTCTGCTGGGCGCTGTGTATCCTCTTGACTTGTCCTCTGACCTACCCGTGCCTTCTTCGGATGATCAAGTTTGGCTTGGCCTATGGCGAAGGTCCGCTGCAGCTTGCCTGCACGTTTCTTTGCTGCTTGTTGGCCTACAGTTACAGCTACTTTTGCGGAGCTTTGCTTTGGGGCTCCCTCTGTGCGCTGGTGGACCACTACTCGCCAGTTCAGCTTGTGGTTTCCATTCTCGTCATCACCTTCTTGGTGATTCAGATCATATGGGTTTTTGCGACTAAACATGATTCTCAGCACGTGCCAGCGTCATGTCGCTGCATCCGACGTGAAGTGGTTGCATATGATGCCCTTTCACCTGTTAACTAGGTAACTAGAGGCAGAAGTTTCACAACATGCTCGAACGGTGACTTTTAAAATTGTTCAAGCTGAAAAGCGTGGAAGGCTGAGCATTCTGAGGTTTAGGGTTTAGGGTTTAGGGTTTCGGGATTAGGGTTTAGGGTTTAGGGTTTAGGGTTTAGGGTTGAGGGTTTGGGGTTTGGGGTTTAGCAATTTAGGGTTTAGGGTTTTTGCTCCGTTGTGTGTCCCTAAGCCTGTCACCCAACACTTAAAACACTAGTCCATTCAGCAGTGAACGGTTCTCATTAGGAGCCACAGCCCCATACTTGGAGGTTCATGGTACAGTACTTATTAACCAGTTATAACTGTACTTATAACTGTACTTCAAACCATATTAACGCACTTGAGAGGCTTATAAGTGGGTTGTAAGTACAGTTATAATTGGTTAATAAGTACCATGAACCTCCAAGTAAGCCTTAAACCCGAAACCCTCCTGACAAAGGGCTCGCCACATCTCGGCCTGTACCTCGGAGCTTCATTTCTGAGCAACCGACATGCTCGTGCAAGCTGAGCAGAAGCACAAGAAGAGTAGACTCTAAGTTGCAACATGGAGGGGAAGCTCATGGGCGCAAAAGCACCAATCATGTCTCAAACATGTGGTTCGCGAACTAGTTTTTTCCGGGATGTTTTTGGGTGTCGTTCACCATCAAAATGCGCCACCGATTGAACTTCTGCAGCATTTTATGCTCGTGTCGGCTGCTTGGTGACGAACGGAAACCCACGCCGCCGTAACCCGATCTGGCCTCTCGAGTTGGGCCTTCTTACCTTTTTTTTTTTTTTGGGGGGGGGGGGGTGCTTCCCATCTGATGTAGAAGCATGAGAAACCACTTGTTAATTTTTGTTGTTTAGAACTTGCCCCACATTGAGTCTGTTGAGCTTGCCAAACCCTAAGCCCGAAGCCCGAAGCCCTAAACCCCAAACCCCAAACCCCAAACCCTAAACCCTAAACCCTCAACCCTAAAAAAATCGCCTCAACCTTGAACAGGCTTCGCCAACCTCCGGGGACTCCGTGCCCGCGCGGCGGTGGCAGCCCGCGCGCTTGCAGACTGCGCGCGCATACACGCCGGGGCCCCAAGGGGAAGGAGTTTGGGGTTTAGGGTTTAGGGTTTGGGGTTTAAGTTTAAGGGTTTAGGGTTGAGGGTTTAGGGTTTAGGCCCTAAGGGGGAGGAGTTTGGGGTTTAGCCGGTAAGACCTTGGGAGGTTTTTGTTATTTGCCTTTGCTGAGGTGAGGAGGGTCTTACCCAGGATTTCTTTTCAGCAGGGTTTGGCAGACTTCGCGTATTGCAGTAGTGTTTGGGGGCGTGGTCGCCTTAAAGCCACCACTGTTCTCAACTGATCGAAGTTCGACGCGGACCCGCGAACCATTACAATAAGGCCTTGCCAAGCCCTATGCCCTGTGCCAAATCCCAAAACCTGTTCTCAGAAGGCTCTTTCTTGGGTTGTTGGGGATTTCGCTCAGGTTACCCACTGTCAATATATGGTGGTGTCCCAGAATTGGGGGGTTCCCTTTTTTTGGCGGGACTATATTCTGGATGGACGGGTGGGGCCTCTACGTTAGGAAGCCTCCATGCGAAGTTGTCTGAGGACTGTAGAGTTAAGGCAGAGGGCCCGAAATCCAAACCCCAAATCCTAGACCGTAGCCGCCCTGAACCCTAAACCCTAACCCTAAACCCTAAACCCTAAACCCTGAACCCTAAAGGCTACATCCTAAACCCTACACCCTCAATCCTCAACTCTCAACCCTCAACCCTGAACCCTGAACCCTGTTTGCAGGGAGGCCTGCTGGATCGCGTGGAGGTGCGCAAAGACTGTTATGGGGTCGCGAGTTCCGAGGTGTGGCATTCATGGGTTCTTTTTGGGTGTCTAGAGATGAGGGCTTGCGGTTTAGGGTTTAGGGCTTGGGGTTTATGGTTTCAGGTTTTGGGGATTTGGGGTCTGTAGGGTTCTTTTTGGAGGTCCTCGGGCCCCCCAAACCCCTGAATCCCCGGAACGCAGCCGGGAGATTGTGACCTGACGGGGATTGATGGAAAACCCATCGTTTAGGGTTTGGGTTTAGGGTTTAGGGTATAGGGTATAGGGTTTAGGGTTTAGGGTTTAGGGTTTAGGATGAAGGGTTTCGGGTTTAGGGCTTAGGTTTTGCTTAAAGTTTCAAGGTCTTCGGGGTTGCCAGGAGGGTCCAGTCGGTCACCCCCAAGGACCTCAACCTAGTTTTGAGGCCCGAAACCCAAGCCCCGAACCCCCAAAGCTGGAGCCCTGAACCCTCAACCCTCAACCCTCAACCCTCAACCCTCAACCCTCAACCCTCAACCCTCAACCCTCAACCCTCAACCCTCAACCCTCAACCCTCAACCCTCAACCCTCACCCTAAACCCTGAACCCTGAACCCTAAACCCTCAACCCTCAACCCTAAAGCTTAGACCCTAAACCCTAAGACTCGGGGTTCGGAAGTCCAACACTCTGGCCCCTTAGCGCCTCTAGCCCCATGCAAAACCTTGAGCCATAAACCCCGCACAGCCCCGAAATCCCAAACCCTAAGCCCCAAACCCTAAACCCCAAACCCTAAACCCCGAAGCCTAAACCCCAAAACCTAAATCCCCAACCCCAAACCCCAAACCCCAATCCCCAGACCCCAAACCCCAAACCCCAAACCCCAAACCCCAAACCCTAAAGCCTAAACCCCTAACCCGAAGCCCTACATCCGGATCCTTGGAACGAGTCCTTTCCGGCTGGAGTTTCGCAAACATCCGCGCATCCCTCGCAGACAGAGTCCTTTCCGGCTGAAACCCGCAGAGAGGAGGTGAGACTGGCTACAATGCGACATCCGGGACTCCTCCAGCATGGAATCCGTGGGATGATGACTTCTATACGACGGGAACACACCTTAGACCCTTCGTCTAGTTCTGTTTACAGCCGGGTATCATCGAATCTTCACAGCAAGCATCCGCGGCTCCTCCTCCTTATTTTCAGACAGGAACACCACAGGGAGTTGCCAGCGAGCGTGGCCCCTAACCCTAAGCCCTAAACCCCCTTTCTGGAGGAAACAATCCCAAACCCTAAGCCCCTAACCCTACGCCCTAAACCCTACCTCTATCCCTAAACCCTAAACCCTAAACCCTAAACCCTAAACCCTAAACCCTAAACCCTAAACCCTAAACCCTAAACCCTAAACCCTAAACCCTAAACCCTAAACCCTAAACCCCAAACCCTAAACCCTAAACCCTTTTTCTTGGAGGTGATGTCGGCTGCCTCGGCCTTGAGCGCGGTGCCGTTCTTGTCGCGGCAGGTCGTCGCGGCTGAGGTTGAAGGGTTCGGTTTAGCTCTGCGATGCTTGGGGTTCAGGGTTTAGGGTTTAGGGTTTAGGGTTTGGGGTTAGGATTTGGGGTTTAGGGTTTAGGGTTTAGGGGCTTAGGGGTTTTGGGTCTCAGGCTTTTCGGGTTTAGAGGAATAAGCAGTTGGCAGGGTTGCACTTCCAAAAGTCTAAAGCCTAAAGCCTGAACCCAGACGCTGACCCCCATCTCCAATCCCTCTGTCTTTCTTTGGGTCTGTCTTCATGTTTGTTTGTCTTTTTTTTTTGTTCTTTCGTTCGTTCTTTCTTTCCTTCTTGCTTGCGCTCTCTCTCCCCTCTCTCTCTCTCTCCGATCTTGCGGCTGTAAGTGAAGGCTTAGATTGTTCAAAAAGAGTTCAGAGCTTTTTCTTGTGAGAATTCTTGAAGGGTCAGGGTTTTAGGGTTTTTTGGAATCCCAAACCCACATCCCCCAGCCCATCATCCTCAACCCCCAACCCTAAACCCTAAACCCTAAAGCCTAAACCCTAAACCCTAAACCTGAAACCTTAAACCCTTAAAGCCCAAGTCACACTCAGGGGCCCCCTTGGGCCTGGGGATGTAGAGTTCGGGGAACTGTGGGGTCAGGTGTTGAGGTGTTTGGGTTGCTGTTTTGGTGGGGTTTCATACTCAGGGAGCCCTAAACCCTAAACCCTAAACCCTACACCCTAAACCCTAAACCCTAAACCCTAAACCCTAAACCCTAAACCCTAAACCCTAAACCCTAAACCCTAAACCCTAAACCCTAGGCCCTAAACCCTAAACCCTAGGCCCTAAACCCTAAACCCTAAACCCTAAACCCTAAACCCTAAACCCTAAACCCTAAACCCTAAACCCTAAACCCTAAACCCTAAGCCCTAAACCCTAAACCCGAAACCCGAGGGCTTCCAAGGCTTTGTGGTGTGGTGCTCTGCATATTTGAGCATGTCAGACCTCGAAATTCAAATCAAGAAAGGTTTGGTTGATGACCTCAACCCCGAGCCCTAAACAACACTAAACCCGAAGGGTAGGAGGTGAGTGGGGTATCGGAAGGGGAGGGTTCTCGAATTTGCTTCGAGCTTCGCGGTTTAGGGTTTTTTGGGGGATCTGGGGGGTTGTGTGTGGAGAGGTGCAACGTCCTGCAGCCATCCTTCCATTCAGCTGGGCATGCAACATTCATGCCCCAACTCGCACCTCAGCAGCGCACGCTAAAGCCTCTAAGCCCTTTTCACCCTGCACCCTAAACCCTAAACCCTAACCCCTAACCCCTAAACCCTAAACCCTAAACCCTAAACCCTAAACCCTAAACCCTAAACCCTAAACCCTAAACCCTAAACCCTAAACCCTAAACCCTAAACCCTAAACCCTAAACCCTAAGCCCTGCACCACCCTAAAGACTCAACCCCTAAGGCCGCAGCTCCGAAACCTCTCAGCCCTCGCGCCTGACCACCAACCTCCAAGCTCCCCAACCCTCCACCCCCTTATGAGCCTAAACCCTAGACTCTCAGCCCCCCGTAGCAAAAGCGCCCTGAGCTCTTACCCTGAACCCTAAAGCTTACCCTCTTCCTAGACCCTACCCAGAACCCAGACCCTAAGCCCTGCACTCTCAGGACTCCCAGACCCTGAGCTCCAAAACCCTGGAGTTGGGTTTAGGGTTTAGGGTTTAGGG